GTACTAAGATTATGTGCCAGCATTTGAGGCCACTGTTTTCTCAAATAATTATGAGATCTCTGGCAAATACATTGAAGTTTCTTTATAACCTTAACTCCCTAGTTTTAGTATTTGGGAAATATGTATTAAAAATTTCAACTGACAATATTTTTTGACCTCTTTACTACCCTGGTGAATCTTCTCTGTTGTGTTCTGTGTATATGTCTGTTTCTTTTTAGAAGACCCTCAATAAAAATGATGTACTCTACTTTGCAGGTTTATTTGACAGAGGTAGCTACAGCAAGGACTGGGAATATCTAGCCAGTCAAGTGCAAGGCTTTGTAAAATCTCACTTAAAAAGCTTAAATGATTGAGAATAATTCCATGAGAATGCATGAGATGGTATAAAAGAAGACCCATACTTTTCAAAAATTCCCATGTAGATAGGGTATATTTAAATTATTTTTCATTCTATTAAGAAACTGAATGGCCATGAAGGTACTTCTTAAAATAGCAAAGACCATGAAAATATGTAACTCAACACTGCCTTTCTGATTACAGTATTTCTGAAATGCCATCATGCAGACAGTATTCTTTTTGAAAACTAAGCTCTTTTATGTAGAGAAAATAAATAACTTAGAGTGAAACTGTCTATATTCCATGGTCAAAATTGTGAATTTATTTGTAAAAATTATCACTACAAAAAAGAAAATTATAGTATATAATGGTTTGGGGAAAAAAGAAAGAGAGGTTCAAAACCATAGGCAGAAAGTATTTTATGTTAATAGGATAAACAGTGAATTAGTAATCATTCCTACCTTCAAATAGAAATCTAATGAAATTTTTCCAAAGAGTGTCTCTGGCTGAGATGTCCTAGTACTCTGAAGACACTATAGTTCTCTGTCAGGGAAGAAGCAGTTGCTGTTAACAGCCCAACTAGCTATTGACAGCACAGTTGCTACTGACAGCCCAGAGAAAGTATTCAAGGCAAAAAATCAATTGTAGAGAGATACCCTTCCAAAGATAACTTCAAAAGGGATGAAGCTATTCTGTTTGCAAACACACACAATTGATGATGCTCTGAAAAGGAAGATAAATACCCAATACAACCCTGCAACACACAGTGCAGTAGCACACAAATGGTTTTTACAACAGGAGGTCATAATCTCAGCCACTTTCACTGGGACTATTTATATATGTGAACTACTATTAAAGTAGCTAAAAAAGTAATGAAAGACTAAAACTTAAGGGAGAATGGCTACTACTTATTCAGCTTCCGTATTTCATTAGGAACATAAAGAATCTAGGGGTTGGAATTCTCTCATGTGCTTTCCTTAGGTCATTCTAGATGTGTCTGAACCCACAGGCAGAGGTTAGACTTCTCTCCTGGGTAGTCCATTCCATCTCTGAACACAAGGGTTACTAGCCCAACAACAGAATTCAACTCTCTAAGTTGTAATGGTGCAGAAGAAAAGTCTGCGGACAGCTTGGACTACATAGTGAGTTTCATGCCTGGGCTACATAGAAAGCCTCAAAACAAAACAATGTTCTCCCTTGAAGAATTTGTGAATTTCACTGCTTTTTTTCTCTTTAATGCTCTACAAAATAATTAAATTTCCTTGTAGTAAAGCATCTGAAGGCAGGGAGAGGATGCTTATTAACAGGACACTTGAGAATGATTGTAAGACTCTATGTGAGCTTTTTCACCAGCAGTGGGGGTACTTGCAAAGTGTACTCACATGTAACAGTCTATTAGATGTACCATCTGTCTGGTCAAACCATTATACATAATGACATTTAAACATATCCATGAAGACACAAAACGTTGGTATTACTGTGCTAATTGCTTATGAGAATACTTCATATGCTTTATGAAGCTGCTTGTTAAAGTTAAAATCAAGGTGTGAGGTGAACAGAGAAAAAAGTAGAAGATTAGTGTTTAATTAGGTCTCACTCATATAGATATGTTTCTTTTCAACCAAGATATTTGAGAATGAAGGATATTTTTTGGGGGGGGGTCCGGTCGTGGGGCCTGAACTCTGGGCCTGGGTGCTGTCCCTCAGCTCTTCAGCTCAAGGCTAGCACTCTACCACTTGAGCCACATTGCCACTTCCGGCTTTTTTCTTATGTGGTGCTGAGGAATCGAACCCAGGGCCTTGAGCATGCAAGCCAAGTGCTCTACCACTGAGCCACCTTTCCAGCTCCCAAGGATTTTTTATTTTTGACAAAGAATCTCCTCTTAGGAAGGTGCTTTACATTAAAACCAAAGACTCTGAGAAGAGAGTGTAGCTTATCAGTAGAATATGTGCCTAGAAGTCATGAGATCTAGAATCTAATTCATAGCACTAGAAAACAAAAACTCAGAAATATTTCTAATAATGTAAAATATCATATAATCATAGGAAAAGACAATTTTCAGTGTCTTTTCATTTCATTATAAAAATAACAACAAAAAAGCTAGAAGTGTGGCTCAAGTGATAGAGCAGTAGTAATGAATGAAAACACAGAGCAAGAGTATAAGGCCTGGCTTTCAAGCACTGGTGTTAGCACAAAAATAAAATAAAACAATTACTTAACAAAACTTCATCGAAAAAATATATTTATTAAAGAACACAAGTTAAATTCACCTTTCCACACTGGATCTTTATAAAGTGTGAGAGACTTACAAATAAGTAATAGCAATGTGACAATGTGCTATTTAGAAGAACAAAAGGAAAAGTGACAGTGTCTTTCTTTTGGGAATTTCCCCAAAGAGCACTAAAATAACATTACCACCTCCAAACAGCCAGAGTATATTCTGATTGCATTTGAGGAGGCCTATACAAATAGTGCCTTACATCCTCTCTGTGAGTATAGTATACCCATCTTGTTCAGAATCAATGTAATTTAGTTCCTATTCAATAGAACAAGAAAAAACAAGAAAAAAGTTGTATTTAATTTTTCATTTAGGACAAATTAATTGCAATGGAACCAATCTATCCTTTTTCTTTAGGAACAGAAATCCAGTGTGATTATGCCATCTATAATAAAATATTCACATTTTACCAAGAGAGAACTCAATTTAGTTAAGTAATTCTCTAAATTCAAATGACCAATATGGAACTATGAGCTCTCTAAGGGTTGGATTCTGTATTTTCATGTTTCTGTATGTATGACGCAGGGATAGTTTGAATGCACAACTAACTGCTTAGTTTCCAAGGTATTATCTTGTTTACTTAAACATATCCTCTTATAATTGGATAGAAATAGTGGTATGGAGGCTGTGGATTTCACTAAAGGGCAGTAAAACATAATTGTCCCCTAAAGATAAATGCTTTGAGTGAATACACCAATTACAGTCTGATACTGACTCTACTCTAAAGGAAATTTACTCACCTTCCACATCTCTACAAGTTTATTTTTAGCTGTACATAGTAGGTGACAACTGGTTGTTTTCAACTCCTTCAGCATGAATGCCTCATCCTGTTTCCGCATTCAATGTACTTTGCCTCTGCTAACATGTAAATACTAAAGTTGGAACTGCCCTGGCAAATACCAATATTCCATGTAAGAAATTTTCAATATACAACTGAGAAAGATAATGAGTAACAAATAATTTATCTTTTTTAGAAACTGAATTTGACAACTATTTTCCTTTGACTGATCTTACAGAAGAAATATGTGGGTTGATTTTTAGCAAAAGTACTGCATAATTATTTTTAAATTATAAGCCAACTTCCTATGAAACTAGAACTCCAATTCTATAAATTTGTTCACAGCAATAAAACCACCTCATTCCAACTGAAATTAATAAAGCTTAGAAAAAGAAAATAAAATTTATGAGTAGTAATGGATGTTTTCATATTAAAGACAATGTTTCTCTACTATAGGAAAAATGTCATAGTCAATGAGTTAATGACTTACTGTCAAAATGCCCATAAACACTGCTAACCAATCACTAAAATGATATTATAGAAAAATGTATTCATTAGCAACTGAAACATTCACTCTTCTGGAAAAAAATTTAATCATTAATAATACATACTAGTACACTGATAATTTGTAACATAACTTCAACTTGTGCTTTTACCACAAAAGGGAAATATTTGTTTCTCTAAGAAATAATACTTTACTAATTTATTTTACTCATATATATATATATATATATATATATATATATATAAAATGAGAAGTTTTGTAGTGACATGAAAACATAAATAATTTATAATGATTGCTTAGGAAAAAATAAATATTGCTAGACTGAACACTGATAGGTACTTAAAACCTTTTTCTGTATAGTGCTTCCTACATGAAAGTAAAGTCAAATACTAATTTATTTTAAGAATAATGATTATTACTTGTGAATTAATAATAATGGATTACGTTTTTCAGGCAAATATGGCACTAGATATATTACCAATAAATTATGAAAAGTTAACATTATTGTTCAGTAAACTTGCACTGATTTAATTATTCCTCATATACTCTGTACTTCCTTTCTGGCCAACAAGATATTTGCAAAGCTCTTAGCTAAGGGTAAGTCAGTGGCTTGTGATATTAAAATGAAAGGTAGGAACTGGCTTATATGACACTCGCCCACCTGTTCTTACTACCCTTTCATCTGCGAAGCTGAAATAAATACCAAAAGTTTAGTAAACTACCATAAAGCAAACTATATAATAACAGAAATAAGAACATTTTAAGTATCTTTTTATGTTTATACATTGATTTGCACAGGATTATGAAATAATGAGACCCATTATAACTCAACAAAAGGACAGAGACTGTTATAGAAACAAATATTTCCCTTTATTTGACTGTATTACATCTACTCATGGGAAAGTCATGATAATTAAAATTTCCAATTTAAAGGCCTATAAATAATGCTAGTTAGCTGAAACTCAGCCAGCAAATAGCATCATATAGAGTGATTTCCACATCAACTCAGTTTAGTAGAGTCTAATAGTAGGTTAGGAATTATCAGTATTTAACAATCATAAGAACCAAGTTCAAGTTCACTTTATCAAGTGAGTTTGCCTTACTCCTTTGCCAGTTGCACATTGGTAGGCTTTGCTCCAATTGGTATCCCATATTTGTGCAAAGTGTTAATCAAAATCTCCCTCATGTCATTGTTGTAAGAATCAAAGTCAAACACATTCCGAACCACATTAGAGAGGCCTTCACTGGGAAATTTCTGTATGAAGAACAAAAAAAATGCTTATTATATACGTGATAAACTGTGCGGCATTATAAAAACCAATGGAACAATAAGACATTTACTGGTCCTGCTGGAAAACCAGATAGATAGCAGAAATACCTGTTTTTTTTTTAATCTTTCTTTTTTTTTTTTAAATCTTTCTTTGGTTGCTCAGAAGACTAAATAATATTTTCCTTTTAAAACAGATACCAAAATTTGAGGAAAGGCAGTTCTTCCTCTTAAACGTCAGGGTGCTGCTCAGATCCTGGTGTTCAGTCAGTGGTTCCACCACTGCTTTCTGAAACCATCTAGCTTTACGAGGAACATCAGATTGACCAAAGCAAAAAAAATTGCTTTTACATAAAGGAAAGTGCTGAATATCAAAAGGCTAAGTAGAAAACTCAATCTATGAATAAATAGAAAAAAAGATAAAAGAACCAGAAAATAAGGGAAGAATATAAAAATGAAGAAATAGGCAAAATGAGAAAGAAAAAAGCAAGTAACACTAGTAGCTCCCCAGGGCTGTTTCCTGGATGTTTTGATATTCTTTAGGTGCTAGGTAGGATCTAGCCTTGTGATACTAGATTTATCATAGTTTTTTGTTTTTTGCTTTTTGTTTTTTCTTTTGTTTCTTCCTAGAGTTATATTATTAATAGACATATGAAATAAAATGTGATCTTTCCATATATATAAAAGAATGTACATATAATCACTTTATAAACAGCTAAAACCTACTTAGCCATTTAAATCTATTTCATTTTTATATAACTACATTGTACAGTTATGATATGTAACAGATTTTAAAAACTTAATTCTTCCTGTGCATCTGAAACTCGGTACCCTTTACAAACATCCATTTGTTTTATAAATATAATTTACATGAGGTTGGCTTTTATGTTCTTTGCCGAGCAGACTGCACAGTGTATATGGTCAGAAGGAGATCCATATCCCTTCCCATTTACTCTAGCCTGTAAGACTTTATAGGTATCTTAGCAATGCTGTTAATTACTATTGTTTCTGCTTTCACATCATTTGTTTCAAAATGAAGAGATTTTCTACCTAGATGTGACATGCTTATAGAACAATAGGACAAGGAAAGTTTTCTACTGTCTCATTGTTGTACTCTCTTGACTCCAAACACTTACTTCTCCCCTCCAAAACCTGTCACCAAATTTCATAGCTTCTTTATAATGACCATAGCATAGAACCTTGCCAGAGCCAATCATAATACTAAATGTTCTTTGTTCTAGTTACATTATGGATTATTTTCAGAAATTAAAAGGCCTGGCATAGTTGATAGGTATACTCCATACCTGTAAGTGTTTGACAATGTTGACAACTTCCCTAGTAGAATATGGATAGTTAATAATACCCTGGTCAGCCAAACTCCTCAGCTCTCCAAAGGCAGCAACAAGTTTCTGAAGGATTGGTTCTGGCACATTTGGTCCATATTGTTTGAGCATCTCAAGCTCTGAGTGGGGTTTGGGGTTGTCAACTGCATGGCAGCTGAAAATGTCACCTAGGGAAAAGAGAAGTGTCAGATTCAGCATGCAAAGAATCCATCAGAAATTCCAAGGACAAATATAGTTGTTTAAAGAGTCATCAATAGCTCATCAAAGTACAGTCAGCCTATCTCAACAATAGGGTGGCACGGAGAAAAAAGTAAATGATGGAAGCAGACAGGAGGTTGACCTCATTGAGAAGGTGATACTCAAGTAACTATAAATACTGGCCCAGAACATTGCAATGGTAGGTAGAGCTAACGCTAAGATCCAAGGCAAGCAACCTAGTGTGTGTGGATGGGAGAGGCAGGAGAACAGAGTGCCTGGAACAGAATTACAAATGGGGAGAGCAGTCAGATATGAGATAAGACAGATCTCACATGCCTGTGTAAAATATTTTAAAGATTTGTGTGCTTATACCCAGAGTAAGATAGGAGACTAGCCCCCACCCCCATCCAACCTCCCTGCCTCAGAGCTGGCAATATACCACCCGAGTCATGCCTCCAGTTCAGACATAATCTTGCTCTGTTGCTCAGGTCTTGAACTTATAGGCTACATATCTTGTTAGCAAAGGCTCTGACCACACTGACTGTGTGTATGCAGAGCAAATAATCTTGGAGGATAGTGCTTGTCTGTCTCTTTCTTTTTCTGAAAAAAGTAAGTATCTTTATTCATATAATTTCCTCCTATCTCTGTGTTTCCCAATGGGAACTGGGGCTTAAGAACCAGCACAAATACTGATACTTTACTTTTTTTTCTGTGAAAATCAAATTCTTCCTTTGTCCCTGAGCCAGGGATCTAGTGTGTCCTGCCAGGGAATTGTAGCAGTCTAAGTTGTTAGGTTAGAGGCAGGGCAAAATCTTAGATTCTTCTTAGATCATGACATAAGGTAAGAGTAAGGTACGGAAACCTACTAGAAGACTATTTCAAATAGCATGTCTGAAAGATGATGGCATTAAGATGAGAATGGGGGTAATGGAAGCAATATGAAGTAACATAATTCTAATTATATGTCAAAGGGACAGCCAGTAAGACCTGCTGATAGATGGTAAGAAAAAAGGAGGAAAATCAAGAACTATTTTGACACATGAAGATGGAGTTATTATCAAGGAAGAATGAAAATCAGGTTAATTATATACATATTATATTCAAGATACAGGAACTATTACACAGGCAGTTGCATGTGAATGTAGGGTCTAAGAGAGAAGCTGGGCCTAGATATAAAAATCTGTCAATAACAGGTATAAAGATGGTATTTTAAAATATGAAATATTCTTATTTTTCCAAGGAAATGAACACAGATAAGTAAAACAGAACTAGGGCATTTCAACAAGGAGGCTGAGAAGGAATGGTCATGATTACAGGAAAAAAGCCCAGAAAGCATTTAAAGGAATATCAAGTGCAAGACAAGATGTGAAGGAGAAGAGATTGATAAGCACTATCAACTATATTAAATATTGTTGATAGTTAAGAAAAAGTAGGATTTCAAATGGATTATTGAATTTACCAACAGGAAGTCCCTTTTAATGAGCCAGGCAAAACCTCTTTTCTGAGGCACAACATATGCAAAACTCTGATTAGAATAGACAGAAGAGAGTGTAAAGAAAAAGAGATAGTAAGTATAAGCACCTCTTCTGAGCACCCAATAACTATTAGGAGTTTTGCTGCAAAGTAGAGCAGACAAGTCTAGCAGCAGGCCAAAGCAGTGATGAGAAAGTCTTTTTTTAAGACTGAGTAAACAGCTGCTTGATAATTTCTTGCTGGGAATCTATCACAGAAGGGATTACTGAGGTAGGAGAGGTGGCAGCGTCTTTGAGGAGGCAGGATCCAATGCTTCTCTGGAGGACTGGCACAGATGGAAGCATGGGAAATGTAACTGAGGGGAAAACACAGCACTGTGGTTGAAAGAGTCAGAGTTTGAGGACATTAGTTTCCAAACTCTGTGTCTTTCTCAGGTGTCTTTCTCAGTAGGACTCCAGGAAAAAGTGACAGGCACCTGGAAGGAAAGTCAGTAAACTGTATCCTGATCAGATATGGGAGGGAAAGGAAACCGATGGGAATGAAGCACTTCTTATTTCATAAATGCTCTACTCCAGTTTCTCATGGTGAGTGCTGAAGGACTGTGCAATTTTAAAACAAACAAATTCATGCAGCAGTGTTAGAACTCTAAGGAGGGAGAAGATCTGAATTACTAGCCTAGGAGAACAGGAAAAGGAAAGGAGCAGGGAAACAGAGTGTAACTGCCCAAAGGGACACTTTAGGTTCACAGTCAAGAGTTTAAAGAGATTGGTCAGAGTGGTTTTATGCTTTTTCTAACCACCTTCAGCTGTACAAGTATAGGCTCCATGTAGTCAGTGAGTAACCAGGGCTGAGGGGTTCTAAATGTACAGGATAATCTGAGCGAAGCAGTAGGAAGTAGAAGATGTATACAAATGAATAAGAAATGTGAATGATCATGGAATCAAGTGGGGTAAGGGGTGGGGGAAAAGGCCTGGTAAGAGGGAACAAAAAATACTAAAAGGGAAGCCAGACACCAGTGGCTCACACCTGTAATCCTAGGTACTCAGGAGGCTGAGATCACAAGCCAGCATGGGCAGGAAAGTCCCTGAGACTCTTATCTCCAATTAACCATGCATGTGTGTGTGTGTGCGCCCATGTACATGCGTGCGCGTGTGCGCGTGCGCGCACGCACACACACACACACACACACACACACACACAGAGGAAATGAAGCTGTGGTAGAGTGCCAACCTTGAGTGAAGAAAGCTAAGGGAAAATTCAATCCTAGAATTCAAACCCTGGCGCTAGCACATGCATGCGTGCGCATGCGCATACACGTACACGTGTACACACACACACACACACACACAATCAAAAGGTTAGTGAAACAGTGGTAGGATCCCTGGATTAGAGTTTCCATTAGGGTTGTTGAATTTGGTGGCTCAGTGGTAGAGTGCTTGTCTTGAATGCATGAGGCCCTGGGTTCAATTCCTCAGCACCACATAACCAAAAAGAAAAAAGCGGGTTGTTGAATTTGAGAATAAGAATTAGTAGATTGAAAGATTGAATATGGTAGGATGAAATTAAAATCCCAAGGAAAAGAATAACTAACCAGATTATAGTTTCAGTTACTGAAACTAGAGTATGTCCACAAGAACAGGTAGCTAAAGTATGAAATGGAAATAAATATTTCCAGGGAACCAAGAGACTAAAGAGGCAGAAAGGGCCACATTTGTATATACAATCACCACCCCAAGAAGAGTAGAGCTGGAGTAAGTAACAAAAATCACTGGGCCCAGTGTCAGGGGAAGAAGCAACACTGCTTGAAAGATCTTCACTGGGAGGAATCAGCTGAGGATCATAATTTCATCTGAACTAGCAAACAAGCTCACAGGATATGGGAGTAGATGGAAGATGGAGACACATTAGAGAATGTGTATTCTTATAGGTATTAAAATAAATGTGATGAGGGATAACCTAGGGGTAAGAATGATCTATGAAATGCCTACATGTGGAAGTGGCGCTGTAGCTCAAGTGGTAGAGCGCTTGCCTTGAGCTGAAGAGCTGAGGGACAGCACCCAGGCCCAGAGTTCAAGCCCCACGACTGACCAAAAAAAAAAAGAAATGCCTACATGTAAGAAGAACTCAAACCTTTTCATACTAGAAACAACTACAGATTTACTTTGCTATGTTTACATCCCACATGAGTTCTCAGTGATTTTTAGAGTAGTATCGATATATGGTAAAAACTACAAAAACAGTTTAACTGAGCACATTATACTTTCTGTGTGGATACAGATATACACATGAATACATGGTATATTTTGCCTTTTGATTTTCTATTTCTGCATGAGACATCACTGATCTCATTCTTTTAAAATAGTTGAATAGTATTCTATTGTGTGGATAAAACAGATTTTTTAAAAAAAAATCTCATCCCATTTGGATGGACATTTGGGTTGTTTCCATTCTTGGTGTTATAAACAATGTTGTGCTTCCTATTCTTGTACATAAATCAATGCACAGTTAAATGCCTTGGATAAATCCCTTGACACAAAATTGTTAGACCAAGTTCCTAATAGGAGATTGGGTCTGCTTATTAATGAGTACAGGAGTCTAGAACTATATGCTTGCCACTAAGAAGGTCCTTTTTCAAGCCTTCTGATGCTTATATTTATCCAGGGCATCACTAATTGGTCTGAATTAGTTTCCTTGGAGCTGGCCTCAAAAAAAAGATACTAAAAACTTATTATTTTATTCCAAGAAGCTTTGAAGAGCAAAGTATAGTTGTAACTGTTTAAGAAGAAAGGCCCTAGAATCAAACTTGGATATGAAGCATAGCTATACCACTTATTAGCTAGATGACCATAGAAAAACTTCATCTCCATGAGTATCGGATTCTGATGGTGGCACAATACAAGCTACAAAGAGATGGCCATTACATGTCGCTATTAGCATTATTATGATGAACTCTGCTGCTGGTATTATCATCACCACTGTTCTTACCCAAGGTGCCGAAGAAATCATTGCCTAAGAAAGGAAATCCAGGTCTGTTGGCCAGAACAATCATCCTAAAATCAGGATGGATTACTATTACATTTTCTCTTCCATTCACATTAGTGGAATCTGAAAAACAAAATGACTTGTTACTCCACATTGATATTTAATAATTCTTAAGAATATTACATTATAGATTTAAAAGAATATATGTAGACATACTGCTCAGTTAAAAAAAAAAACCTCTATGGGATCTGGCTGTAATAACTGGATTACACAAAAACAAATTTTCTTCTCAAGAACAGAATACTGATAAAGTATACAGTAAATTACAGATACTTGTACATTTATGTAAATTCAACCTAGGTCTAAAAAGCAAACTTGTCTAAATGCTGTCTTCCAATGCTCAAAACTGGCTTGAAATGTAATTATTCTTTATGAAAAAAATATAAAATGAAATAAAAATAAAAGATAAAAATGCATCATAAGGTAATCCAACATTCTTCAGTTTTTTTTTTTTGTTGTTGTTTTTGGGTCTGGTCCTGGGGCCTGAACTCTGGGCCTGGGTGTTGTCCCTCAGCTCTTCAGCTCAAGGCTAGTGCTCTACCACTTGAGCCACAGCGCCACTTCCAGCTTTTTTCTTTTTGCTTATGTGGTGCTGAGGAATTGAACCCAAGGCCTCAGGCATGCAAGGCAAGAGCTCTACCACTGAGCCACCTTCCCAGCCCACATTCTTCAGTTTTTATCAGCTATATCCCTTTGGCATAAAGCCTGATATTATGTAGCTTAAGGAGCCATTCTTATTTAGATCACACACTTGACAACCTAAGGCAGTTTATTAGTGAAATGTTGGTTTATTTCTAGTTAGGGGATTCTAACATAGCTCTTAAAAGAAGTGATCAAAAAAAAAGTGCTCTAAAGTAGACTACCACTTTCTTTATGCAATAGCTAAGGTACTGCCTGTAGGCCGTACTGATTAGTATATATTTCAGATAGAACTGCCATAGCTAAGACATACCTTGAAATGGTGAAACCCTTATTATGTTTATTTTAAAAGAAGCACTTGCCATGTAAACCTATGTTACAAACTGTCCATCTTTAAAACATATGGTTATGGTTATGACACACCTGCAATTTTATCTGAGATGAACAGTAAAGTTAACTGACAGTCATAATTTTTTAATACCAGTAATCCTCAAGGTGCCACGTGCACATGTAAATATAACCCTCAGTTTTAACATTTGATTCTCATTAATTGTATTTATTTATTTTTATTAGCCTGAATTACTTATAATGAGGGATGTTTATTGTTGTCTATTGCTGTCTATCCACATATGTTTACAATATATTCCAACCCATCTCACTGACTTAATTTGTTTCTTTTTAAAATTAGTTTACATTTCTTATACAGAGGGGGATTTCACTGTTACATTTCCACACATGTTTACAATATGTTCCAATAAATCTCATTCCCTTGATTTTCATTAATTTTATTATATACAACAGCATGTAAAACCTAATTTAAACAAATAATAAAAAAAAGAGGCTGTAAAAAGGCAAGGAAAATAAAGTTCTAGAAAACCTAGAATTGATGACTTATAAAACTCTGTTTAAGCTGGATGCTGGTGGCTCATCCCTGTAATACTAGTTTCTCAGGAGGCTGAGAACTGAGGGTCTCAGTTTGAAGCCAGCTTAGACAGGCAACTCCATGAGACTCTTACTTCCAATTAAACGCCAGAAAACCGGAAGTGGGAGCTGTGACTCAAAGTGGTAGACTGCTTTTCTTGAGCAAAAAAGCTTAGAAACAGCAGTCAGGCTCTAAGACCCACGTCAGACAAGAACAACAACAAAAAAACACCACAAAACAAAAAGCCTCTGTTCAAATGAGTTTTTATTGTCTTGCTCAAAGTGTTGTCTAAGATGGAAGGAGAATAATCAAAGTGGCATTGATCACAAGTATACTGTATTTACAAACTGACAATTATTTATAGATAATAATAATGTTTTAAAACCTCTAAAAACAAAAAAAGTTCTGCCTACAGAGCTGGGAGTATAGCTTTTAATAGAACACATGCTTGGCATTTAAGAGGTCCTAGGTTCAATCTTCAGCTCTTAAAAAAAAAGACATCATCCTTGAGTTTGAAAATCATTATTTGCTCCTTCTACTTGTAGGCTATCCCTCAAAAGCAGGAGAGAAACGTAAAATGTCACCAGGAAATAGTTACTCCTTTAACCATGAATTGTTTAATTAATGTTTACTTTCTATTTCACTGAACTGTGATGCCTTTAAAAATGGCAAATGTCAAATCCTGAGGTTCTGATTGATGTCAAGGAACAGTATTCAAGCTATCTCAAATTCTCCTTTTTCATCAATCCATTGTGAAGTGGAATATTACAATGCTGTTGTGCATACTGAGGCTCAGAAGGATAGTTCTTTCAATGATAATTTCCAAGAGAATATCTTGTACCATTCTACTTGCTGTTTTTACAGGCTCACTTCAAACACCAAAAATGTTATTAGTTCTGACTTGATGGGTCACTATGTTGTTGGTTAGGTATTTCTGATGGCTAGTTGTAAATTTTCAAATTTTCAGAAATTTTAAATAGAAACTAGGTAATATTCTCATATTAGATATATTTTTCTTTGTAGGTTAAACACAATGATATTTTGCTATCTTTATTTTTTTCCAAACAATAGCAACAAAAAGGCACATGAGTGAGGAGGGCAAAAAAGATACAGTGGAACAGACAACAACTCCTCCCAGAAATAGGTGTGTGTGTGTATATACATACATAAATACATTAGTGTTTAGCTATGAAACAAAATGTTCAATATTTTTCTAATTACACTGAGCTAATAATACAATAAATCTTCATATTATGAGCCAGAGTTGAAAAAATTCCAAGCTGCAATTAAATGAAAGAAATAACACATAAATACCTGAGAAATGAGAGTAAAGACTGTATGTAGGTATTCTCAGAACAGAAAAATATGAAGCTGATTTGTCTTAAAGCCACTAGAGAAAATTTCGAAGGCACCCTCTATTCACATACAAAGTGAAACTAGGGGCTGTAGATGTAGCTCAGAGCACAGGTTTCTACATATGAAGCTCTGGGGTTTAACCAATAGCACCACAATTAAAACCAGTGAAGCAAGATTTAGACATTGGTTAGTTAATTACTTTTTATTTGACAGTATTCAGAACCTCAAGCACTATATAACATTTGAGCCATGTTCACCAGCACTTAGATATCAATTTTTGGAAATGATTGATAATATAGACAATGTAATTTATATTGAACTTAAACTTATTGTTTGTAAATAAGTAGCCACCTAAACTTGTGCCTTAATATCAAAGACATAAAAATCAGTGTTGCTTTTTTTTTTTTAAGCATCAATTAGTTGTGCATGGGTTTTTGTTTCCGATATTGCTTTTAAAATACTTACTGGCAACAATTCGTCTTCCATCAGCTAAAATCATTTCTCCATTTTCTACTAGAGTTTTCAAAACACAGGTGACATTTGTTGGGGCTTTGTCTGCCTCATCCACTACTAGAACATGACCCAACTTTACTGCTTTCACCTTAGAAGACAGAAAAGTTATTAAAGAAAATGAAAGTAACCATTATTGAAATTTCATCTTTCTGTTTTGGGCATACAATAGCTACTTTTAAGGTATCTATACTACTCTCGCCACAAAAAGTCTATAACATTCTTGAGCAAAACTCATAGATCTCTACTAAAATTTTCATGTAGTTCCTAAACTGCCAACTTCACAGTAGTTATCTCATTTCCTTTCAACATTCGAGTTATTCACAACAATGTTTCACACCATAGGATAGGGAAGATAAGGCAAGTAGAAATATAGGAAGCAAAGTGTCATGGAAGTTAAGAGGAATAAGATACTACAAGCAATTGTGGGCATTAGAACATTGCATTTGTTATGGCTCTTGGAGTAGTGCTATAATTTAATCAATAAAATTAATAATGAAGAAGTGAGTATTCAACTCAAAGAGAATAAAATTCCTGGGCATATTTACTGAAGAATAAGTATGAATAATCTATGTTGGCTAAAATAGAGATTAAATGTACAAAAAGAGAGAAAAGGCTCTGGAAGGGTAGACCACAAAAGACCTGGTTGCCAGACCAAGAAATATGTGTATGTGTATTTATGACTTCCAGTAGCAGTATTCAAAATAAACTAAAAGATGACTATAAGAATTTGGTTAGAAAAGATCTGGGAACCAGGTTAGGGTAGGCATGGAAAAAAATAGAGATAAAATGTATTTGATCAATCTACAGGGCTATGCTGTGGTAGAATCTTGCATCTACTTGGATAGGAAGTAGGGAAAGGAAAAAAAGTAAGAGAGAGAGAGACAGGTCTTCAGTGACTTGTGAATGTGGATATTATAGAAGAAAACAAAAACTCAAAATATTTTTTAGGCTGAGCATTGGTGGCTCACGCCTGTAATCCTAGCTACCCAGGAGACTGAGATCTGAGGATTCTGGTAGGAAAGTCCATGAGACTCTTATCTCTAATTAACCACCAGAAAACTGGAAGTGGTGTTGTGGCTCAAGTCGTTGAGCATTAACCTTGAGCTGAAGAGCTCAGAGACAACACCCAGGCCCAGAGTTCAAGCCCCATGACTGAAAGGAGGCAGAAAGGCGGATTGTATAGTTCTGACTTATAATTTTAAGGAACTATAAATCAATATGGGAAGATTCCTTTTATATTTATGTCACATTCTCAAAGGGATAGTAAACAATCTTTTAGGATAAAAAGAAGTTTTGGAAAAATAAAATAGGTAGCTCCTACCCAATAACCACTTCTATTCAAGGAAAGTTGGTTTAATTAAGAAGGAGAAACTAAAGCCCTCAATCCCCAGCACCAGGACCATAAAAGGGATCTATGATGGCTCATTTGTGCAAAGGAGTTCTCTGCATCCAGGAACATACCTGGTTGCCTTGATTTGTTTGGGTCTTGAGTGAGAAGTTGAGAACTGGATGTTTCCAGCTTCCCCAAAACTTGGATAATATCTTAATAGTTAAAACCATTTAATTTTTTCTAGATTTATTATCTAATTTCAAGCTAGACATTTAAACACAATAGCGAACAAAAAGATCTTTTCTAGAAGGAAAATCAACAGAGAATTGTGTTATTCATTAAATCTTTCACTAAACAGAAGAAAACAGATTATATTCAATAATTTGTATTTAAATATCTATACCTAAAATGACACATGAATGTGTTCTAGTTAGACTGAGATATTTTCAAATCTATAGAAGACTCCTATATACTCAAAGGCTGAAACAGAACTATCACTCAAAAAATACTTTAAAATACTAATTGGATTACCAACCAAAGGTGAGTCTTCATACACAATTAGTCCATCTTTAACTGAAGGCTGAAGAGTAAGACTTTGTACTGTGGTATCCCTAAAGTTAAACCAAAACATTCCAGTTAGTAAGGAAATAAACTGATGTTTAGACATGAATAAAATGAGTATTTATTTTAAAGTTTTTATTCATTATCCTACTTTTCCCAAGGGGAAGGAAGTAACAAATACAATTCTACCAGGCAATATTATTTTGTTGATTTAATATAAATTACAAGGTCTTGGAATTAATATAGGTTTATCTGGTTCTTCTTTTCTTTCTGGTAATCTCTTTTGTGACCATTTCATACCTCAAAATCATATCCTGAGTGTGAGGAGACAATTTTAAATATATTCATATTGTATATAATACTTATTTAAAAATAATTTTGATGGCAAGTTTGGCAATGACTGCTGCTGATTAAATAAAGCAAGTCTCTGAACTGCATAGTCAGATCCAAACTGCCATCAATAGGGGCTATAGATAAGCATGTCACACCACTCATTCCAAAGGCACAGAAGAATTATTTCATAAGTTTTTAACATTTCTGCTGGGATTGTGCCTCTCTCTCTCTCTCCCTGTGAGAGACACACACACACAAACACACACATACATACTCACATAACCATTGGGTTAGATAAAGGCTGTCTTTGAGGTAACAAGTGATCCTATTTCATCTGCAAATCTGAGTTAGAGAGCATACTCATACTTCAAATGATTACTTGGGGTTGGGTAGTCAAGGGAGTAAGAACTGAGGGTTTACTGATTTGTTGAATCTAACTCCTTTGTACAACTACTTACAGGTAATACAAATATAATTATAAAATTAGAATTGATGGTTTTGGTATGGTATCTACTCCAGTGGAGCTAAATTTGACTTACTACTGTAGTGGGTAACATCTGCATTAGAATCCTCATTTCCCCAAGCCAGAGAAGGTATGTTGGCAATATAATTGGTATCTTTTACAATTTTGAGACTTCTATCTTATACCCAGCTTACAGGGATCCTCTCTATAACCAGACAGAAATGTGATGGGTTTTCTTAGTAAATTGCTGTGTCTGGCCCATTGTCATTCCTCATTCTCTTCTAAGCTTCCAACCCTGACCCTAACCCTCTAGGGGCTTAGCACTCATCCCACAATCAACAACTACCTACAGTTCACAAAGAACAGATTCCAAAGAATTCTTTTATCTTCACCAAAAAAGTCAAATCAAAATATGTCTAAAAATAAAGTGGGAAGCACAAAGGAAACTGAAAATATATTGTAATAATTTATCAGTGCTTTTCAACTTTTGAGATGAACATGTTTGCTGCACAACATTATGATATCTATTTTCTGTATTCACTTGTCTTATAAATTGAATGTCAGATATACTTTATACTGCTTTTTACTTACAAATTAACTTTTAGTTTGGGACAAAGTAAGAGTAGAGTTTAATTAACTTACTTAAACTCACTGTTAATATCCTAGCAATAGAGAAGGGGGTTGGTGAGGAAGGAAAAAAGATGTGTTCACACAGATTTTTATAGCAATAGAATGAATTTCTCACATATCTAATGGGCAACAACATGTCACCTTCCAGCACTGGAAAGGAGAAAGAAACTCTTGCCTCATTGTCAGTAGCAATGTCAGTTGTTACCTTAATAATTATAGTGTTTCAGAGAAGATTAAGAATTGTAAATTCAAACTGAATTCTAATTATTAAAAGGCAAATGAAGTTACTCGCTAACACATGAATTCTGGTAGTACACAGCTTGTCAAATTAGATTTCTTAAAACACTTTTGTGCTAGAAATAAAACCTATTGCTTGTGAGAACAAACACAAATTAGACAATTTTCAAAAGAGACTAAAATAAAGATAAACACAAATGGGAAACACACTTTGAGTGGAGTAGTTTATAAGAAAGATAAAGAATCTCATGGGCAGTGTTCTGCTCAGTCTGGCTTTGAACCACAATCCTCAGATCTCAGTCTCTTGAGTAGCTAGGATTACAGACCTGAGCCACCAGTATGAACGAATAGACTCTAAAAGGCAATATAATGACTCCTGTTCAGAGTATTTGATAAAAAACATTGCTCTGCATTCATAAGCATCTTGGATAGAGATATTAATTCTCTACTCAAAAAATAATGATCCTAAGGGAATATTTTTACTTGTTCCTTTCAAAACCACTTTGAAGGGCTGGGATGTAGCTCAGTGGCAAAGTGCTTGCCTAGCAAGTGCAACGTCCTGGGTTCGATCCCCAGTACCAAAAAAAAGAAAAGACAAAAAAAAAAACCAATCAAAACCACTTTGAAGTATGAGCTAACAAAAGCTTTGAATCAACAATATTGGGAAGACAAGATGGTTAAAACATGTGTAAGTCATATTTTCTTTAGCATATAGTTTAATAAAGAGGTGGTTTTCTAGTTGCCAATAATGGTTGGTAAATTAATACAAGTATTCAGCTAATTGTTGACATTTATGTTAACACCAATTAATTGTTCACACTTCTTACCAGCTGTCTATCAATTAAAGCTTGCATCAGTAAGTGGGCTGAGATACTGTGTTAAACTCTACTCTTAACACTGTGGTTTTGCTTTTTTGAAAATTGGAGTTATTAATGCTTCAGTAGTAACTTCAAATAATTCCAGATGCAATAGTAATTAAATTGTGTAAAGAACAGGTTTGTGTTAAAATCAAGAAACAAAACTTGCTTCTACAGAACAAGCACAATGTGTTCTCAAATGCTGCTTGTGAAGGTTCAACAAGCTAATATCTTCTCATTTATTGAGCAGCAAAAATAAATCTCAAAATAGTGGTGTTTATTTTGAGGATGATATTTTAATGAGTGACATTTTAATAATTTGGGTAAGCTTTCTTTCAGATAAAATAACAGAAACAGTAGTGAAGGAAAAAGACACAAGATCTTCATACAGCAGGCAAAAATCTCCATTAATACTTTATAGTTCATTGAAATAAAAATGGCTGCAGTATATCTGCAGTTTATTCAATAATACAGGCCAAATGTAAGAAAGGAAAGACAGGCTATAGCTCAAAGGAACAAACAGATATTTGTTCAATTAAAAAACAGAGAAATGAGCTGGGTGCTGGTAATTCTAGCTGTAATTGTCGCTACCCAGGCTGAGATCTAAGGACCACAGTTCAAAGCTTGTTTGTCACTTATCTCCAGTTAACCTACAAAAAGCCAGAAGTGGAGCTATAGCTTAAGTGGTAGAGTGCTACCCTTGAGCAAAAAAGAAAAAAGAAAAAAGCTCAAGGACAGTGCCTAGGCCTGAGTTCAAGCCTTAGGACCAGCACATATGTGTATGCACACACACATACACAAAAGACAAAAAAAAACCACATAAAAGAAACAAAGTGATTGCAAAAATAGAACTAAATGTTAATCTTTTACCAATAAGATATAAACATAGTATCGCTGAGTGAGAAGTGAAATTCTATTAAAAGACATCTTTCAAGTGAAGAAGAATTAATAACATTATCAAAAATACAATTTCTACAGGCTAGGTAGTACAGGTCTGTAATTTCATTTACCTGAGAGGTATAGAAAAAAAAAAATCCTAAGTGGAAGCTAGTCCAAGAAAAGTACGCAGGAGATTCTCCCCCAGAAACCAACTACAAGAAAGAAAACTAAAGATGTAGTTCAAGTGGCAGAGTACTTTGTCCTCAGTTCAATCCACAGATGTGTGTTAAAATGTTTTTTTTCCAAAATAAATAATAGAATAAAGGTAAAAACACTAATAACAAAACAGTACTTCGAACAAATTAGTTTACAAATTAATGTTTTACAAACATTCTAGACTTTCTTCTGAATAGCAGCAAATGACTCTTCTGCCCCTACCTGCAAAGACAAATTTATTTTGTCATAGTGGGAAAGAAATTTCCTCTAATTCTCTAACAAGTCATGTTGCCATCCAATTTTTAAAAAGACATAAGATAAAAATAAGCCTATGACTCCTGGTAGGTCCATTTAAAAACCAGCATGAGACTATATCTAAGTACCTCTAGTTTGGTTGATCTATTAACCCCCTAAAAGCCTAAGATCACTCATCTCTACACTGGGAATGAACAGAACATAGGAGCAAATACAACTGAGTGAAAGTAAGGAACCTGACCTGTAAGGAAAGCAAGACACAGAGTAAAAATGAGTCTTATTACCGAGTGCTCTGAATATTTTGAGGGAAAAGTCATTTTAGAAAGATAAGCAAAATATTATTTCTGCCAAAGTGACTGAAAAGCCTCCAGCTCTTAAAATAGTTGTTTTGGAGGACACACAGCTTACTTAATAGTCAATCATTCTTTGCTAATACATCCAGATGTAAAAACTCCTAACAAACTATAAAGGGAAGGAAGACCTTGGGGAATAATATTTATGCAAGAAAATCTGCTGGGGTGCAATGCGTTGCAGTTGTTCAGAAGTGGGCTCTTGCTGGGAACCACAGGCAGAAAATCAGCACAGTCAAAGTCATTTGGTGGCAGCTTACCCACACCAAGTCTCCTGCTGTTAGTGATGCAGTGTTTAAAAAGAAAATCTTCTAGTAGTCAGAGCCATGATGACTATCAAGTCTTCCCCAAACCCACAATGTTTTCTAAGTTGTCTTTAGAAATAAAAACAAATCTCTAATAACATACAGATAACTAGGGTTTTTTTTCTTCTTTTTCAAAAAAAAAATTTTTTTAAATCTGTACTCTAAACCAAGCTATTCATCTTGAGAAATTTTAGGGACTCACAATGACCTAGTTTCTTTGCAGGAACTTCCTCTTTTTTTTTTTTTTTTGGAAAAAATAAAACAGTGCACAGCTTTTTTTTTTTTGAGTCAGTTTTTTAAATGAGAAGAATAATGGATTGAAGACAAAAATGCAATGGTATACACAAAGGCAGCCAGGGGAAAAGGCTGATGATTTTATCTGTTGGATAAATCTTTATCAGAAAATAGAGTATATAGTAATTTATGTTTTTAAAAGACTTTACCAATTAACTACAAAAAATGTTATAAAGAGTAAAAATGAGCAAATCACCATTTTTCATATCATGACATTTCAGTTTCCCATTC